ATATCGCAAGTATTTTCTCTATGTATAGAATGAAGACCATGATTATCCAGTATTATTTGTGTGACTTCGAAAACAGAACTCAGTGTTTCCAACTCGTTAGCGTCAGTGAGTGCAAGATGGAAACTCATTTATCAGTCAGATCACCGACAGCTAAATAAAGTTCGGTCACGGAAAAGTGCTTTTTCGTCGTCAACACACTCGATAACGTAGAAGATTTTCGATTTTTAACGAGACACATTGCCAAAGTTTAAGAAAAATTCTGAAACTAGTATTATTTGTCGATGGAAGTGTTTTTCGCTGTTTTGCTCCAAAATTTTCCGAAACGCTTGACAAAACCCCGCATGAAAAATGGAAAATCTTATGGGTTATCGAGAATGTTGACTGCGAAAAGGCAGTTCTCCTCGAGATCCTGCTGGAGCTTCATTGTATTCTTCCCGTTAATAAATTAGGACTTTTTCAGCGTTCATTTAAAAGCACAGAAAACGAACAGAAACTGAATTTTCTTAGGTAACTGTAAAATTACCTGTACAAATTCGCGGTTTTCCAATAAGCTTTTACTATACTCAAATACCCCATGAGTTATGATTGTTTTATTTTTGCGTTTTTATTCTGGGGTGAAATTCGAGAAAATTGTAAGAAAAGCGTCTCTTAGGAAACACTACAGTTTTCTTGAAAGGGCTATACCTAGGCACAAAAAAATCATTAGAAACGACTGGAAAACGCGTTATAAAACGCCCTTTTTCATGCGTTGGAGGGGTACAACGCGTTTCATAACGTTTGTTTCATTTTCCGTTTTCACGCGTTCTTATTACGTTTTTAACGGTTGAAAAACGCAACTAACCATTCACCGTCTTGTTTTGCGGTCAGCCGAGTATATAATCACTATCGAAATATCGAAGAAGTATGCGCATATATATATATATATAATATGCATATATAGCAATTAATTAGCAATGACTACCAGTTAATGAGTAGACAGACAAGAAAAGAATATACAGAAAGTTTTTATTAATAGCAGTTCGAATTGTTTTCGGTCGACCTTTACTTTTTCTCTTACCTAATGGTTCACAACGACTTTTGTCACTAACCTGATACATGTTCAATAGAATGGCTAATCCAACAGAGTGTTTGTTTGCATGTATATTGTTTAAGGCCCCCCTCCCTCAGAATGAAATCGTTTGGCATCAAAAAATCAATTTGAACATAAGCACATGGAAAGATAGCCTGGAGTGTCTACTTTCAGAATCTGTATCGCTTTTGGACCAAGAACTGGTTTTCGTGGTTTCGAGCAAGTTTTGTAGAAGCCTTGAAAACCAGGATCTTCGAATAATAATTGTTTTCTGTACACTTAAGCAAGTACATTTTTTCTGAACATGTAGATTTGTAGAACAGACTTTTCTGATCAAAATAAGACGTTGCACAACTCTGTGTGATCTTGTGTTCAAAAATTACAAGCATTTTCCTACATGTCCTAAAATAGACCAACGAATGCACAACGTTTTCTCTCAAAACATGTTTTTTGTTCGAAAATGCCCAGTGCAGGGCACTTTTTTAAATATACTTCAAGCTAGAGATCTCGGGATGGTTTTATTTTAGCGAACATAACAGTTTGCCCGTCTGAATTCTTCTAAATTTTTAGACGCCGATCGGTTTCCATAACCTAAAACTTTAGCAGAGCAGAGTTGAATGTATGCAAATCTCACATTTATTTTAGCAACATTTAGTGCGCTTGCAGTTCTCTTCTATTCTTAGTTGAAACTATCAAGACAATACACATAAAAAATATGTTTGAGTATTAAAACGTTTCTAAGATGAAAGGAGTGTTCTGAGAAATGTTTTATTAATAGTACTTTTACTACTTTATTAATTTATTCCTTATTATAGAAAAAACGTTTTTTCGGTACTTGAAAGAAGTTAAGTTTCGTGACTAAATTAAAACGAGGAACTAAGGCATTTTTTTTTCTCAAATAGAATATATTAGATATCTAAAGAGAAACATGCCTCTAAAAACGGGTATCATTACTTTTGAACACTAGTAATACGTGAAATGTATTTGGTCTGCAATTTTTTGCTTATATTAGCTTACTATCGGTTTAGTTGTTTTGCTATACAAGCGTATTTCGCTATAGCAAAAGATTCTTATTTTGTACCAAATAAGAGTTATGGCATAGTTCTGGGTGAATATAATTTATGTACAAGTCCGACACGATGCGCACTTTTATGCTTGAATACAATTGATTGTCAAACAATTACGTGTAATTTTTATACGAAATTATGTTCTACAAGCACCACGACAATTGGAAATACGTATATGTCAGCTGGCAGCATAACCTTTGTGATGGTACTTGGAATAGTATCATCGTTTATAACAACAACAAGCCCAAGCATAGATGCGAGTAGTATAGTAGATAGATCAACAACGATACTAGACTCGTTGGAAATTTCCACTAGTTTTCGTACAACAAGTATTGATTCCAGCGAAACTCAAGATTTCTCGGCAAGTGACACTTCCATACTCACAAGTGATACAAGTACAGCTGCTGAGATAACTAGCACTAGTGGTTCAACAACAACAAGTATTGATTNTCCAGCGAAACTCAAGATTTCTCGGCAAGTGACACTTCCATACTCACAAGTGATACAAGTACAGCTGCTGAGATAACTAGCACTAGTGGTTCAACAACAACAAGTATTGATTCCAGCGAAACTCAAGATTTCTCGGCAAGTGACACTTCCATACTCACAAGTGATACAAGTACAGCTGCTGAGATAACTAGCACTAGTGGTTCAACAACAACAAGTATTGATTCCAGTGAAACTCAAGATTTCTCGGCAAGTGACACTTCCATACTCACGAGTGATACAAGTACAGCTGCTGAGATAACTAGCACTGGTGGTTCAACAACAAAAGATCTTTTAACAGGTGAAATAACTACCGCTGAGAATTTTCTTAGAAAGTACAACTAGTCCTGTTGCTTTTCATATTACAATAATAATAACTACTGCTAATAGATATGATGATGTAGCAAGTAAGAGCAGACATTTATACAGCCTTTGTTAAAGAATCAGTCGGGAGCCAAGCTATTAGATGTACTATTTACGGTTTCTAAAACGTAAAAGGTAGGCGTTTTTCATGCATCTGATATCTTTTTTGTTGATCAGAATTTAGAAATGAGTGACTTATATTAAGAAAAGATAATTACTTCAACATAGTTCTGTTTAATTTTTTAGCAACAGCATCTTCATCATTATCTGCGCCTGCATTCTATCTTGACACAAACTTCCCCATCACTTATACTGATTACACATTTGTATATCGAGCGGATACGTCGTCAACGACAATTGCGTTTGAATTCGGTGGCGCTGGAAATGGTTCATGTTATTTAGATGATGTTCATGCTATAGATGCTTTTGAAGATGACTATATCGATAACCCGAGGTTTGATATCACATCTGGATGGATTGTAAGTGGTAGCGGTGCCATTGAACAGAATACATATCCACACACACTTAGTGGCTGCTATAACGGCGCATCTCAATCAGATCTTCGTCAAATAATACCAACATCACCACCACAAACTTTTAATGTTTCTTTCTATTTAGCATGTCCATATTCAATTCAATTACCTTTTTTTTTCAAAGTTACAATGGGTCCTACATAAAAGCATAACCATACCATATTTGAGCAATCAAAATTAGATGAATAAAAACATTTTAATTCTATTACTTTGTGTCACTTAGAGAAGGTCATAGATAGTAGTTTACTGTAAAGGCACGAATCTATTTTGCAATACAGCTTTGCGCTCTTTGACATGCTGAAGAGAGTGTACAAACTTAAACAAAAAGATTTATTAAAAGTTGATTATTTTACTGTGGTACTCAACACACATCTAGCAGCAAGTTTAGACGTACCTAAGATCTTAAAGCAGTCTAGCTCATAAACAAAATCTTGATGGTTTTTTGGATAGTTTTGCCTAAAAATTTCTTTTTCAAGATCTTATCAAAATTTTGTTTTGAAGTGTAAATCAAGAGTCCGACACAAATCTGGATTCAGATTTTGAAAAGATTAATAAGTAATTCCTGACTCAAATATACACTGTCGGTCTCTAGATTTAGAGAAATAACGCATTAGAAACGATGTGATGATGTAAGTAACAATCGGTGAGTTTCAAAATTCCTTTCAAAACACATTGTTTAGTTCTTTTTCTTCAAAAGCTTTTTTTGGTGCTTTTGTCTGTTGCGAAACTCTGTTACATGAACTGGAGTTTGATTTGTTCTTTAAACTGAATGAAAAAACCTTTTCGCAATGATATCATTTCGATAAGAGAAAAGTGATGAGCTCTTATTAATTTTCTAGGAAACTCTCCCTTCTCCGAATCGTTTGTTGTATCTTTTCTTTATGTAATAATAAACAACATGCTATCATTTTTCTAAAAATATTTCGAAACAAACAGATTAGTTTCCTATCTTTTACACTATTGCATTAATTCTTTTAATTCTTATTCGCTCTCCACAGTTTGAGTTACTTTTTTGTACTAACGTCATTTCCTATTAGCACAATCACTCGAATATATCATCTGGCGGTAAAACAGGGAAAGCCATCCTTCTCTAGCAGCCACTTTTTCCAAAGACTCAGTACTAGATCTTGACAACCGTGACCTGTGAAGTGTGATGCAATCGCTTGCCAGACAATCTTCTCATACAAAGTCGGAGGTCCGAATAAATTCCCGACATTCGGAACGGGAGGGGGAGGGTGTAAAAAGATTTTCACCGGAGGTGGTGTGACTTTTAGTTTATTAATTTTGCGCCCGAGGTACTATAAGTTGGGGTATATCCTAACAAGAGCCCGAAATGAATCAGGAAATCCTGCATTAGTTCGATCCAATTCGATTCGGGCCAGTTCAATGAAAATTGCAGCCTGATTCTCTTTTGTTTCCAAAAGTTTTTTTAAAATATACTACCTCGAGTTGGAATACTTAAGCAGAACATATCATTTATGTGACTAGAACTTTCAAACATGAAATAAAATATTAAATTATTAAACTTCGAAATTGAAATAAAATCTGCAGAAGTTCTTCAAAAATTCTGCTTCCTGAAAGTTCTTGATCAGAGACTTGACATAGAATTTTCAAGAACATCGAGTTCAGATACATCATCAAATCTGATCAAGATTTACTACGGTTTCGACTCTGAGGTATCTTCAGAATTCTGAAGAGCTTGAAAAGATCTAGCAATTTTTCTGAACTCATTAATTTAATTACTAATTAGGAAAATGAGTCTTATACAAGGAAGGTGAGAGAAAGGCAACCATAAGAATTTCATACATATTGATATTTTTTGTGATACTACCCCCAGTAAGAAACTTACCCGAATCTCACCAGGATCTTGGCAAGAGTTCACTTACATTTGTCTAAGATCTTAGACAAATCTTACTAAGGTGGTGACACCGAAAATTTTAAGATTTGATAAGGTTTTTCTAAAGTCTTAATAAGATCTTAATAAGATTATACTGTCGAAGATTTTTTCAAGATTGGGTAAGATCGTAGTTCAAGTCCCAGCCAAGAACCTTGATCTGCATGTACACTGACTAAGAAGTTGTTGCATACTTCGAAAAAACAAGTATTACTATCCATTTCAATGAACGGCGATATCCGTTATCTTGCGAGTAACTTTGCAACGGAAAGAGCTAGCGACTTGCGGTTTTCACCACCGTGTTGCTAAGACCTTGAGACATGTTTTCGTAAGCAGAAACTTGTTTTAGACTTTCCTGGAAGTTCGGCTTTTCAGAGGATCTTTGGAAAACCAGCTCCGTTCTCAGAAAACTAACATACAAAGTTAGTAATATTTTTGTATGCGTAGGTAGTCCAGACGGTACTCTACAAAACTATGCAAGTTCCAGGTCTCCAGCTATCATCATTTGGACAGGGCTCGCTTTCCTCGAGCGCGTGTTTATCTCCGAGCAGACGTCTCTGGGAATCTCAAAATGCCATGGAACATAGGTAATCGACTACGCTGAGCATCGTGGCAACATTTGTTTTTGTGTAGAAATGAAAATAACTTCACCAGATGTATTTTTGTGGAAAACCGATTTTTCGCCTGTCACCAGCCGAAATTAAAACCCTTATATCTCGATCAAATCTCATGCTGACTCAATAAAATTTTCAGGAAAGACTTCAAAGGCATCATATATTGTTGATCAAGTCGAAAACGGAGTTGAGCACAACACTGAGACGTTGAGTTTTTCAGAAGGTTTCTGGAAAACCTTAACCCAATATCCGGCTGAAATTTAATTTTTTCGTCTTCCATTATGATTTATGAGCTGTGCTAAGCGTTTTCTGAAAAGTTCATTGAGTCAGCAAGCTCCAGGAGTCTTGTCCGAATGATGATAGCAAATTTATTCGCAAGATAACGGATATCGCCGTTCATTGAAATGAATAGTAGCAGAGTCTAGAAGAAAAATAACTGTAAAATCACTCATATTTTCGGTGTTAGTTATATAAATAAATGAGAGTAAAACATAAGACTGGATGGAGAGGAGAGTCATTAAATCTTATTAAAATCTTAAGCGGTAAGATCTTAGATTATCTTATCAAAATCTTAATGAATAAGGTCTTAGTAAGATAATTTTAAGAATTGTCTAAGATTTTTACTAGGGACATTAAAGAGGACCTGACCTTGAATGCTATTGGCCTAACAGAAGGATAATGAATAAATTGTACTTGTCGTTATCTCTATCACCGTTTTTGTTTTGCAGTGCACATATATATATAGGGAGCAGAATCCGCACTGTAAAAGAATTGAGAAATCTTCAAGCCCATTATGGACATAACGTTTGACTGCACAGGTTCGGTATTGTATGAACGGTACTGTAAGAGCTGTATATTTTGCAGTACTGTTAGTGCAGTACTGCAGAGCTTGTGCTGTAGAATACAGTAGATAAAAATAAACGAAATAATATCTGACGAACTCAAAAAACTATTCAAGATTTTATACAGATATCGAAAATCTGTCGAGATTCTGCTAATTAGTTAATAACTAATTAATTGCTTCGTCAGAATCAGCTACAAATCTTGATCAAGTTTATTTCAAAACTCATTTTGATACAAAACTTGTAGAAAATCTGCAGCACTACTTTTCATTCAGAATCTTGAAGATTTTGATAAATCTTCAGAAGTTCTTTAAAGATCTGGTGCGAAACTGAAAAATCTTTAAGATTTTGATAAATCTGTATTCAAGATTTTCTCCTGCGTTAGTGTTGATTAAAAGTGATAAATGAAATAGTTGAGTTGTTCTTTACAAATCCGTTTACTCTTGTTTAAATAAAAAGCTCCTACATTATTGTTTTATTTTCAGACGTTATGTGTTTGATTTGATGTGTACTGTAGTTTCTAAACCGCAAATGTCAAGGATGACAAATATAGTAATAAAATTAATCTCTGTCATTTTCAATGGATTAGACAATTTTTTAATCCTCTCGTTTTTTTTTGATCAAAAAATTATATATATTCACTAGTATCATTTGAACACATATTTTTTAAACATTTTTTAAAGATGATGTCACCAGCTGTTAGTGTTGTCCTTCTCCTCGCTATTAATAGCATCGGTGAGTAAATAATTGACGAGGATATCGTGTTACCACTGTTACTATAACTATTTTCTTTTATAGATGCGGGTTGTAATTTTGGCTGCCCGAGAGGCTCTTGCTGTACTTCTTACGGATCGTAAGTTTTTTTTTGTAATTAGACTAACACTAATATTTCTTTTGTCTCTATAGTTGTGGAAGTTGTGGATACGGTTGGCCAAACTTAGTGGATCCGAACGCCGGAAGATGTTTGTCAACTGGATGTCCAGCAGGAATGTGCTGCTCCCGATACGGATAGTAAGTGCATTTTATTTAATTAGACTGAATGATATGAAAGCTCATAATTTTTTGTCTTTTTGAAGTTGTGGTAGTACACCTGCATATTGTGGCAATATTGGTTGGCATGGTTTTGGTAATTGTGCTCTAACAGGATGTGGAGCGGGCTTGTGTTGCAGTACATATGGATATTGTGGAAATTCTGTCGCTGCTTGTCCCTGGTATCGAAAATCATCGAACGTCATCGACGTACCATCACTCGATGGTGTTTTACATTCCGGCTTGGCTAAATTGTACGAAGTAAATTCAGAATATGTTTATACAGCATGTGGCTTCAATTACACTACCAGCGGCAATGTCGCTTCATTGAATTATGCTCAATTCGATCCATTCACCGTAAACGGTATATCAAGTACAAATCCATCGTGTAATAAAAAGGCATTAGTAACGGGTCCAGGTAACACTAAGATTACCGTGACGATTGTTGACAGATGTCCACCAGAAGCAAATTGTAATAAAGGTAAAGAAATTTCTTGAATATTATCATATCAGAGATTATTTTATTTCTTCTTTTTTTTTTTGTTTCAAGGTGATATTGGTTTATCACTATCAGCATTCAAAGCGCTAACAGGCAATGATGAAGGTCCAGTGAAGGTTGAATGGAAGTTTATTTGAAAAACATTTTTTTATTGATGATATGTAATTTAATATAAATAAATCCTAATTTACAAGAAAAATATGTTTCCATCAAGTACTTGATATCAATATTTCAAACTATATACAGTTTGAAATACAGATAATTTGATACATCTTACACAATATCATCGCTCATTAATCATACCGAAGGAAAAAATCGGTATTCGCTAAATGCATCCAAGAGAGTTGGTTTACAACAAATCGTTTCACAAAACTTTGTCTATTATTATCGCTGATAGCTAGTCGTAAACACGTAAAAGCATTATTTATTAAAATTTTGATACACCATTATTTAACTAGTAATAAACTTGTAAACTGGAGGGATGTTTTGCAATCTCAACTCTTACTTACTAAAAGAACACTGGAAAAGAACATAAAAGAGAAGTGTGTAACATCGATAATCACAACAGAGAAGGAAAGAAAGAAAATAAGTAGAGGAAGAGGTTAAGAACAAAACACAGTGTAGAATGAAAAAAGAAGTAAAATGAAACGTATTTATTCCGCATACGCTATAACATAAGTGAAAAAGAACAAAGAGAATAAAGACTTTAAAGAAAAAATATTCACTATGAGTCATACTATAGCCTTAATCACGATTAAGCTGTCGGGATTAGTTCGTAGTGTGACCGTGACCTTAATTATGATTAATTCGCTAATCATGATGAGATACAACCACGATCCACAAATTCGCAATTCAAGAAATTCAAGGAATTTAATAAAGACACATAGGTTAGTTAGTATTAGATCTCAACTATGACGGAATTCAAGCAAATCAAGAAAGCGAATCAAGCAACTCAAGAAATTAAAGAAATTAGAGATTCAAGGAATTTCACAAAGACACATACGACAGCAATAGGAATTCAGAAATTCAAGAAAATCAAGAAATTCAAGACATTGAAGAAATTCTAGAAATTCAAGGAATTTAACAAAGACACATAAGGTGATTAGCTATGGGTCTCAACTATGATGGAGTTCAAGGAATTCATTGAATTCTGTGATACTTCCAACGCATAGAATTGAAAGTTATATGGATGTGTTGGATTTGTTCAACTTCTTGAATTCATTGAATTCTATAATGCTTTCAGGGGATACAATTCCAAGCTATATGAATATCTTCACTTTTCTTGATTTACCTTGCATTTCATCATAGTTTAAACTTACAGTTCACTACGCTATTGCTAAAATCCTTGAATTTCTCGAACTTCTTGAATTGCTTGATTTTCTTGAATTCCTTCATAGTTGAGACCTATAACTAACTGCCTTATGTGTTTTTGTTAAGTTTCTAGAACTTATTCAATTCCTTGAATTGCTAGATTTGTTTGAATTTCTTGAATTCCATCATTGTTGAAACCTATAGCTAACCACCTTTTGTGTCTTTGTTAAATTCCTTGAATTTCTAGAATTTCCTCAAATTTCTTGAATTTCTTGATTTCCTTGAATTTCTTGAATTGTCAATTTTTGGATCGTGGTTACTGCTGATCATGGTTAACTTTACGCCTGATTAACAGATGAATAGTGTAGTCGCGATTAACTGCACTGTGACTTTCAATTAATTATTTCTTTCTTCTTTATTTAAATTTTAATTTATTGAGAGACTAGTCGTGTCTACTTATCTGCTCATTGCCCTCTTTTCCATAACAAAATTCTTTCGATTATGGGATTCAAATGAATATTGAAAATTTCTCAAAGTGAAGTCAGTGAATAAATACGGCCCTCAGTTGCACTGCATCTTGTCTATCTTAGGCGTATATCTTCATTTATAGTCACGAGTTTTTTAAGTAGTTTCAAAGGGGAGTCATTCACTTAAGTGTTTTGCAGATAATTTTTTTGCTCAAAAATGCGATATTTTTCGAGTATAAATTCAATGGTTGCTGCTGATTTTGACATGAAACTAACAGGATGTTATCACTGTTCTGATTTTGAGTTAATTATAGTAATGGGGATGATGTACTGTTATCAATATCTTTAAATATTATGGTCAAATAATGAATCATTTTGTTTATTTTATACATTTTTCATAAATAATTAGATCGACAATATGATCGTTTTGTGAATGAGGATTATATCGATATATTTAAATAATTGTTCAGCTTTTTTCTATACTTTTAGTTTTAATAAAACTTCAAGATCGCTTTTATTTAATCAAGTGTGGATCAATCGCTTTTTCTGCTCGTTTAAAACAATTTCCCGAGACTCTCAAGTTTAGTTTTCCATTAGTTTTATCTATAATAATTTAATAAAACGTGACACACACAACAATAGTATTGTAGATTGGTAACAATAGACATTAGCCACAGTGGAAAACAAAAGCCACCAGCATGTATTCATATTTGAAATAACTCAGTCGAGATCATATCAAGCGATTACTTCGTCAACATAAGTGTGAGCCTCATAAGGAATATTACGACATATTATGGACAGTTGTTCTTGAAACTAAGATAAAAACAGAACCTAAGATCGATGTTATAAAAAATGACTCCGAGCTGTCGAAGCCCTTATTTTTGTAGAATAATGTCTGCTCTAGCAAATTGAAATGCTAGAAAAGTTTTAATGTTATATATAGAGAAAATATCATAAATCGAAAACATACTAAAATCGCAGAAAAACAATCGATAATCGATTAGTTTTTCCCAATTTTGCACAGTTTTGAATGCTTATAGTTCTGTCATAGATAACACTAAAATTTTTCTAGCATTTCAATTTGCTAGAGCACACATTATTCTACAAAATAAGGCATTCGGCAGCTTTGAGTAATTTTTTATGACTCGATACGGCTTTGTTAAATGTCCTAACATCGATTATTAATCGGTGCATGCCTAGACATGATAGTGACTGGGAAAGAATACGAACTAGTAATAGTCAAAGTACTGCTCACTTCGTTAAGAATATCTTGAGAAGAACAAGATCAAACGAAGTCGCCGAACCAAATCTACAACTTTTTTCGTTTTCTTATATAATGATGGATATAACCAAAGAATAACAAAACCGCGAAGAATAACAATAGTGAAAAAATTGGTTAAATGGAGCAGAAGCGACAAAGTTAGCAATTTCAAAGAATGGTAGGATTCACCGAACTTATATCGAAAATATTTTTGGACCATTAGCTCATAGCATTTTCCTCCTTAAAAAGAGCTTTCCTATACGCTCACACAGCTCTGCTATCTGCCGCAGTACTTCTACCGCATTTACTTTACATGTTTCGAATAATCGCTTGTTTTTAGATGGACCGATATACTCTTCAGTGACGATAAACTGAAAATAATATTCAATGTTCAAACGCTGGATACACTGGAAATAATATAACTTAGAGACAGAAGAGGGAGAATTAGAGGTAAAGATGGCATCAAATGTGGAGGATTAAAAATACTAGTTTGAAAATATATGTTAATAGCTAATCTTTTAATCTTAAACTTGAATTAAGTTCTATAGTCATCTAACTAATACATAAGATCTTCTATTCGTAGTAAAATAACTAAATCATAAACATGAAGAAACAAGCCTTTAAATCAATTAAAAATCATTTAAACTCAGAATATACACCGTTATTCTTTTCTTTGACGTACATCATATTCCGACTGTTTTTTTGGTTGCGCGTGCAACTTAAATTGATTTGTCGTCAGAAGAAATCTTTTTTTTTACCTTTTGTCTATGAAAGCCATTCAATGAATGAAATCCTTGAAATTTGAAATTAAAAAAAGAATTGTTTTTTTTCTTCATTTTGATCATATCTGCAACTTGTCTTCAATGTACAATTTTTCATGGGGGCTAACGAAAGTCAACAACAACACAAATTATTGAATAATACAGAAAATAGGGGCACTTTGCCTTATATTCCACAGATATACGATTCACGAAATAATATGATACAACCACAGATATACGATTTACAGAATGGTCTGATCCCACCATATATACACGATTCACACAATAATATGATACAACCACAGATATATGATTCACAAAACGGTATGATACAACCACAGGCATACGATTTACAGAATGGTCTGATCCCACCATATATACACGATTCACACAATAATATGATACAACCACAGATATATGATTCACAAAATGGTATGATACAACCACAGACATACGATTTACAGAATGGTCTGATTCCACCACATATACACGATTCACACGATAATATGATACAACCACAGACATATGATTCACAAAATGGTATGATACAACCACAGGCATACGATTCACACAATAATATGATACAACCACAGATATACGATTTACAGAATGGTATGATCCCACCACAAGGACAGCATACATTCGTCGTATCACGAAAGAACTCTTCTATCAATGCAGCAGAGCAAGAGGAGAGAAGCATCGTACCACTTGAAATGCAGGATGAGCTCAAGATAAATCCGGAGACACCTATTATGCATTATTATGTAACCCATGAACCCATGCGAAGAGAAACTCCAATCGGTGAGTAAATTGTGTAGTATGTCATCTATCGGAAAAGGATCAAATTATTTTTGACATAGAGCCACTATCAAATACTTACAAATGTGACCAGTGTGGATTGGTATTTGATACGGATAACGGGCTTCGCAAACATAAAGCTCGGTTTTGTGTAGGCGTCGAAGATTCAGGTATTGGCAGAATCCCAGTGAACTCAGCCGTTAAAACAGATACATATAGAGAGCGAAAAAATGTTTTGAATGATGTAAGACACACAAGATTGCCGGATGCAAAAGAAGTACAAATGGTTCAACAAATTTCCAATAATAGCGTAAGCATATCGAAAAAACGTGTATTGATTGTATAATAGGCAATATTTCGTGATTCACATCTGATTTTGCCCTGATATAGAAAATATTCCGCAAGTACATAGTACATCAAATACGCATCCGTGCTCAACTATTCGATAATAACAAGTTGTTAGATCTGGAATCCTTTCATGACTATAGAAATGTTGGATAGATGCATGCCTATTATAAAAATTCTACTATCTATTTCACAATTAATGGTTTTTGAATATGTCGAAAACGAAAAATGATAGGAACATGTGGTTTTCACCGTCATGGTGTCTACTACAAAACGAAGTAAGTTCAAGACAGCTGGCTGTTGTGGTACTTGATGGCATAGGTTTTACTGAGATCTATCTATCTCAGTATGGTTACTTCTGACAACCTTAAAATGAATTCCAAATGGTCACATCGAGTCTTGTGATCACGTTTGTTTTCAGAAGAAAATCCAGAAACCTGGTGAAAATCTATGTAAGTATGTAAGATAATCCATTTTTGGCTATTTTCACCGAAAATTAAAATATTCATAACTTAGTCAAACTCGATCCAACTACACCAAAATTTCAACATATACTCCATTTTGTATTGCTGTATAACTTGTTATTATCGAATAGTACGGATGCGTATTTAATCTACTATGTAGAACGTCAAAACTGACAAACGGCGAGATATCATAGCTGTAATTGACAAAATTTATCGTTTTTAGAAGCTTTTAAGAACGTTGGCTTCTTCACCAAACACAGAATAATATAAATGCTATATTTACTTTTCTAAAACTTTTCACGCTTTCACTCATTCCATCCATAATCCATTCATCTCAGTCTTTGTGAAGTATAAAATTCTTTTGTTTTCTGTAGCTTGATCATTCATTAGCATGGCACAGATATTATTTCATTTATTTAAATATGCTTGTAGAACTTTCGAGTCAAATCGACCGATCATCAATACAGTCTAACAATATTTACAATCGAACAAAAGTACATATGATTCTATTATATGTATATATAGTCATATAGTTTTTTGCATATCATGCATTTTACATATGAGAAGTTACTTGAACACGATAACAATAGAGAGAGAGAAAGAGGAAAATCGAATATAATCATACGTTTTGTGTACCACATTTTATCTGAACAAAGATAACAGTAAATAGAGCGAGAGAGAGAGAGATAAAGAGCGAAATATAAGAGGAAAACGATCTCAATAGATTTGAAATAGTTTATCATCATATCAATCGTTCTATTTTGAAAAACCTTCAGGAAATACGTACAGTGGCACTGAACGATCGGTACCGCTGAATTTAGGAGAATGTAAGCGTATAGCCAAAGATTCTTTAACAAGACGCCGATAAGATTTCTGCCAGGGCTTAACACTTCTACTTTATTAAAATTAATTGAATGGCCTGACATGCTTACCTAAAGCTGATTTAGTTTTATATTCTGGAATATCATCGAACAGAACGTTGGAATTTTTATCTGTTAAAATTTGTTTATTGGAAATACAACTACTATATCTTAAACTTTGCAATGGTTGTTAATTTTTGTTAATATGACCTTTCAAAATATTTTTATTAGTTATTATATCGTTTTCTTCCTATATTTTACTCTTTGTCTCTCTCTCTCTCTATTTACTGTTATCTTTCTTCAAGTAAAATGTCTTATGTAAAGTGTATGATGGCCACTTACATTTTGATTCCGGAAATTAAGTACAATTGCTCCCGTTTATTAATTTTCGCGAAAAAATACACAAATGATCTCGGTTTTGTTTTCAGTTGATCCTACTATTTTCCTTTCAATTGAAATTTACACAATAAATATTTCCGATATTCTGGACAAATATATGTATGACATAATCCATAATCAAGTTGTTTTGTACGGTTTTTAAATGTATCATTTTCTTTGATTATTGTTAATAACTCATGTTCATCTTTACATAAAAAACTTGCCATATTCGGATAGACAAATTGATAACAGTATATTTTTGAAGTAACAATTATGCGCTATGAGAAATATTACTTTTACAAACGTTTTTAAACTTTTCAGTGAACGACAATGACTGTCGTCCTTGTGATATGAGATCGCGATTACATTGTTCCGAATTATGTTTCCTGTAAAAGCAGTTATCTGTAGTATGGATAAACAGCTCAAATTGTATATTCTTATTTGATTATATGAAGTAAATCTTACCTATCCTTAATCGGAACTATTTCTTTTATAGATTTATCGGGTTAATCATTTGATAAGTAAAAGTTGCACATTGCCTCTAGCTACCATAAACCGAAGAGAAAGTCGGAAAGTCATAATGTTAAAGAAGTATATTTAACTACTAAAAGATCACATAGCTGCTCAATGCTTAATTTCCGGGATCAAAAATGTATTTATCCGCGTATGATTTCTTCCTCCCCTCTCTCTCCCTCTCTTTCTCAATTGTTATTGTGTTCAAGTAACTTCTCATAAGTAAAACACATTATATGCAAAAACTATATAACTATATATAGATATAGATATTTTTTTTGGCTAAGATTTGTTTGATAGGATCGAGAGAACGCCTCGGGCTCATGTGTTTGGGAAGTACCATATCCATTTTTTCCGCTGTTTTCACAATTGTCATTGATCGATATAAGATTGAATGGTTTTGGTTAAGCGATGCAGGCCTTAACCTAATTCAAATTTTATTCCATGTAAACTACGACAGATTGCTGAGAAGATCATGACAGATAACTTTCTCTTCTATAGACGGAATGTCTATTTCCTTTTGTCATATGATGAAAATTGTGCATTCAGCACTTGAAAAAAACAGCGGCAAGCAGCATCTTTTGGTTGAGATAATTTTTTCAAAAAAATAGTAGCGTTGAGAAGGAAACAAATATACCCCTCCATTTCGAGATTCTTCCTTCACTCTCGCGTCGGGTAGTGGAAAAGTTTACGCCACCAAAGGCGACAAAAATTATGAAACTAGGCGCCGCCGATCAGACAAAATTCAAACGCCGCCGACGAACATTTTCTATTGACGCACATATCTGTTCACGGCAAGAAAAAAAGTGCCTAACAAAGCGCCCACTAGAAAACCTCCAAGAAAAGCATAGTAAAAAAAGCATCGACAACAATAAGTGCACAAAAATTCATCCAAATAGAAGCGTTAAGTGATAAGCATGGTATTTAATTGTATGCTGCATAGATGATCCACTAGCTTATCTTAGAAACGACTGATTTCTTGCGAATAGTCTATCGGCCTACCAGGTCTGACGTGCTTCGAAAGTAAAGTGCGGTCTAGACTGAGTCAAATATTATTTAAAAATCTCGTCAAATTTTGAACACTTTTTTTTGCCGTGTTGACTCGAGAGTTCTGCGCCATATTTAAATAAAAAAAATAATATCTATGCTATATTAATGAATAATCAAGCTGGAAAAAACAAATTACGTTCGTTTATTTCAAAAAGTCTTGCCAATATCTTAAATTCCTAGATGAAACTTGATTCCTATTCTCATCACAAGCAGAAATTAGATCATACTCATAATTCCAAACCACAAAGAACACAAGATGTGGATGTCAGGACACTTCGCGACTTTCGCAAAACTCAAAAAGTGGTCAATGGTTTTAAGCAACGATCAATTGATTATAACAATGTTTTGATGGAAGTAAGCGTAAACCAAGATTACAAATCATGTTGTACTAGTGCATAAAGTATATATTTTAGTACGAAAAATTACAAGTACAGGAACGCGAGCTTTTAAAAGACATGTTCTCATTGCAATCACAGACCATCTTATCTGTTGATGATGTAAGTCTTCAAGATTGTTTAGCTAATAGTCATCAAACCGTTACCTTTACAAAACTCCCTTATACACAAAACATCCTAAAATGGTTCATTGAATGAATTGTGCTCTGTATGACGGGGTAAAAAAGAGGAGAGCAATCCGAGAAACCGTTTAAAAACTTTGAGTAAATAGTTGGCTTTTATTGTTTATTACACAAATTGTTATTTTCAATGATAGATATATGATACTGAGATTTCACTACGATTATGGAAAAAACGTATTTGCACCTTTTCATTGACAACAGTTTTTCATTGGGACCTAGTTCTAGTCTTGAAAGTGAACTTCTAGCTTAATTGTTACTGATGAATCATTTTTCACTGAATACAAGTGAATGCTGGCAATTACTCCATATTACACAGCGGTTTACTCCAAGCGAAAAAACGGCAAAACTGCGGAGGAGACACTTTTGGGAGATATTTACTTTGGGTTAGAAGCAATTCTTCCATCTACGAAAATTGAAAAAAAAGAATTCTTAAAATTATATGAATTACGCTAATTATACGAGTAGAATCGGAAAAATGTTTGCAAATGTATTCCTCGGCTTGTCCAACTCACGGTCTCCTTTTTTTTCGCTCTTTTTCAGAGCCGAGACACTTGTCATTTTGTAGAGAAATGTTTAATCTACTTAATTATCTAGTTGCAATTTTAGATTATTTTCTAGCTTTATTGTCACAGTTCTTTGAAAAAGAGAGAAAAAAGGAGACTGTTAGCTGGACACCGCCCTGTCCCATGAAGATGAAAAGAGTCGTTTGTGGGAAAATGGCACTTCGGATTCTCGATATAAGCTTTCGTGGGGTATCGGATTTCAGATAGGTAGCGAGTCGTCGAATAGAGATGTTCGGGATTTCCGAGCCCTAGTCGCCCAAAGGTGCGATGTTCGGGATGTGCGAGCCCTCGTTCTCCCGAGGGCTCGCAAATACTCCTCGAAAGCTTATATCGAGGGTCTGAAGTGCCATTTTCCGAGGACTCGAGCCCTCGGCGAAGGTCCATCGAAAGCATATTTCCGAGCACTCGAAGTATCTCTCAAACAACTGGTTGGGGTACTCCATAGAAACGAATGTGTATATTAGCGTCAGGTCGCTTACATTTAGAATCAACCTGATACTTTATCAGACTATCAAAAAGAGCAATTCAAAAGTTTGCAGCAGAAAAATGTTAAACTTGAGAAAGATCGAAGAGGTAAATAAGGTGTGTTAGTAGCGAGAGTTTATATTGATTTTGAATTTTTGTTTTTAGTAATTCAAGAAAAACTTGAACAGTTACTTTCAATTGGTTATCCAGATATAACATCAACAACACGTCTCAGTATTGCTAGTTTGTTACGTGAATTGAAAAATGACGATTTAAATCTAGACACAGTAAATTCATCTCAAACGGGAATTACCGCAGATAGGTACGAATACTTGCTATGAACAAGCCAATTTTAGAGAGTAGGAAGTAAAATTTTTCTCAAAATTTTGTTTGTATAAAGAATCAAGTGTAATCTTTGAAGTTGGAATGATTCCCTCTCTTAGGAATATATTCCAAGGTAATTAATTATGAATTTTTTTTAAAATTCTTATACGAATTTCATGATTTTTGATGTTCAAATTATTTTTCATTTACAAAAAGAACCAAAATATTCTCAATGATATCAATAAATATAGTAAAGTGTTGGCTACGTAGAATAAATGTTCCTTATTTAGTTTGCCCTAATACCAGATCAACTTAGTCAGTCGAGCTGACTCTGTCTCCACACGTATATTTAAATGTAGTATTATTATCATTTCAAGAACAAAATATACTGTCCGATATTTTAAATATCTTAGGACGGATGGCGACATGGAATCTTCGCCATTCTATATCCAACTCTGGGGTTGTCTTTTCCGACAAAAAATTCCGAATATTATTTTCAGATGTAGAGTTTTGAACGGATCTTTCAATAAATTGTTTTTAATTCAAATTAACATATACTCACAGTGAAACATTACAGTATTGAGACTAGTCGTTCTCTAGAAACAATGAATAGGACGGACAATTCGTTCTGAAAGTTCATGGCATCTAAACGAACGTTAACAGATGATTCTTCTTTTAGATCATTGCCAGTTGCTTCGATTTCATCTGTACCTGTTGTACAAGATGGAAATAGATATGGTCGTTTGAAAGAAAAACTTGGAAAAGATGTAGGGTTAGTTGAAGATAAAAAAAGAATTTTTTGACACAATCCCCATTCGTGCACTATATTAACACACATTTACCTATACCTAGGAATTTTCAAAATAATTATTTGAGGACTGACGATCAAAACTCAACAGCTTTGGTAAATTACACTGATCATGAATATAGAATTAGAACGCTTGAAAACAATGACTGGATGAGAGCAAATCCCGAACCATTAACACCATTTAAAAGTAAATATTTTTTAATGAATCATTATTATCAATACAAGATTTTTCTATACCAATTTATCTAATGATCCGTAGAGCATATACGTTTAGTTAAATATCAAAACACAAAAACACAAATAAGACATTTAACTATTCAACAGACTTGAAACACTTATTTCGTGTTTTGACCGTAAAATTACGACGGATTCATGAAGATATTAATAGTTTTGTGCTTGGAAAATTTTCCAAGTGAGAAACAGTGTACTCTCATTGATACATTCGTATTTCAAACTGAACTATAATGCTAACAATGATACTCCTGGAATATGAAAGTATGAAATTTTTGAATCTGGATTGAAATTCTTATTAAAATGACATAAATAGATGTGGACGATGATTTCGTCTGTCCAATGGTCCTTTCTATTCAATTTTAAAAATTTCGAGCTCACTTATTCCAGGAACATCATTTGACATATCCGTGTAGATACACACGTCAAAGAATCCTGTAATAGGATCATATAGGATCTTGTAAGATCCTATCAGATTCTAAAATAACATCTTGTCTGTTCTTATATGATCCTATGAAATTATATAGGATCTCAGAGGAAATACGTCTGCAAGCTTAAAGCAAGAAATGACGTAGGATTTCTATTATAGGATCCTATGAGATCCTACAGTAGGAACTTATAAGATCATATACAATCTTATTACAGGATCTGATAGAATTTTACATGATCAGCTAGGATATGGTAGGGCTTATCATACAAAGTTTATTATTTTTATTTGTTTAGTTATTCTTTGATCCCAGCTAGCTATAATCAGGTGATTCTGAGCTGGAATAAGCCCAAGACTTGTGAGTACTCACTCACACGTCGTCCAACAGTATAGCAAGTTTGAATGGCTCATAGAATTTCGAAAATTTGAGCTTAAAAGAATTTTTTATTTTCTACAATAGAGTTGTATTTATATTACAGTTACTACAAAACACGTCAGTGATTGTGTTCTCGTATAGAAAAAGAAAAGAAAATTTTACAGAACGAAAAAATAGGAATCCTACAAAATTTTACCACAGGATTTTGTAAGAAATGCATAAGATTCCTATTTGTAGGAAACCTATAGGATTTTTGCTACCGTCCTATATCAAGAGTTCTATAAAAATTCCTGCTGTAGGATTTTATAGAATCCTGTAATAAGAATCTCATGAAATCCTATTATCAATAGGATCTTGTAGGAACCTAGTAGGATTGTTTGACCTGGACATGCAAATACTAGATTACAAATGGGAGTACGCCATTTCTTTATTGAAAATTGCGTTGATTAATCATCTACACGTTTGAGTTTATGTAAGAACTGTTGATAACGGTAATTGTATTCCCATGTCGTTAAAATCGCTCCATTCTGAACGATTATTTGTGATTAGCAATAAAATCGGCAATTAATCGCAATTTTGACTATAATCGTGCATAAATTGTGATATATCGGCGATTTTTAACAACTGATGATTAATCGACTTGCACGAAAAATCATCAGTTGCTAAAGATCGCCGATATATCGTCATTCTTAAAAACATATCACCGGACAAAAAACAAATAAAGTTCGTTTTGAGTTGCTGAAAAGTGCTTCTTTGGATTCAGCACACTAGATAACCTTGCAGTTTTTCTATTTTTGGCGATTGGTACTTTTTGGGTAATTTTTCTGTTTTATTTAATAATGGTCAACTAACGAGGAAAGGACACCAAGTGATAAATCGCTTCTAGCTTAAAACTTAGCGAACAATAGGTAATCGAGTGTGCTGATTCCGAATACTAACATGAGACGGGCCGCTAGGCCTCCAAAGACTGGAT